TAATGCTTCAGTTTATGTCGTAACAAATTTTGGTACTTAGTACTTACTATAATTCTTCATGACGAAGAGAAGAGCAAAAACCAGTTTCTAGGAAAGAACGAATCCCAACAAGTAGCGTTGAGCCTGTGTCCCAGTCTGCCGACGTACAATTACCTTGGTTATTTGAATGGAATGGAGGGTACAAGGTTCGATGTAATGCCTGACTCCTTAACGGAACATTTCCAAACATACCTGGAGCGGAAGGAATTTGTGAGCCAGCACATTGTTGCGCTGCGGATCAGTAACCGAAAAGTTCCCGAGCTGCAGGACGCACTGACTTATGCTTGGCTACCCAGCCTTGGTAAGACGGCGACGGTTCGAGTACAGCCTTTTACGCTTCGCAATGCTAATTAACCTTTCAGAAAATAGCAACTGGACAGCAACCCATGCTGAAATCTTGCAGATAGACAACGGAACGACGTATTTTTCTACAGACGGGTAACCTCACGCTGCTATAATTGATTTTGTAATTCACATTCCGTAAATGCGCAGGTCGGCGTTAAGATTCGCTACATGTTACCGGTGTCGGATACCTTCTCCCCGGTCAGCTTCACAAAAAATGTACCGCGGTATCCCTGGCTATATGCTGACAATCCCACGTACCATCAGTTAACCCCAATCATTCCACCACCTATCACTGACTTTATTCAACGATTGCAAAACAAGGGCTTGACAGCATATGACGGTCCGGTCTTTTATGCAATGAACGGTGATCTAGGCCATTATGTCTACCTGAAGGGAAACTTTTCACACAACGTTTTCGATACCGACCAACTAAAGGCGAATGTAAAGGGATTTATTTTACAAAGGCGCGCCAAGTATCGCTGTACTGCTGCAGACTTGAATGATGCTGAAATTAATTTGGGTCCACTCGAGCCGGGAATCCTGCCACTGAGGATCAACGGCACCTTTTCAGAGTAAGGACAGTTGTTCCAAATATTTACTTTCTCGCTTTCGTGTGTTCCCTCCCATATATTTCTCTGCCTTATTTCACTTGGAGATATTCTTTGGCCAAATGGATTGAAAAAGATTGTCGTGAAATGTGTTAGTGCTCAAATAGGTGCACTAAATGTCTCATAAATTGTAGACGGATGATAAAAACATAATTTTTCTTTTCAACAGTGTGGCCGTACTTTCCGCTCCTTTTGTCATCAGCTTGCAGAAAAATCTTATCAATTACGATCGAATCGACTCCGTTACCCTAGCCAACAATTACAATTGCTCTTCTCTCGACATAAGAACTGCACGTGAAAAAAAACGTGAGCACCACCGATTTTTGTCCAATGGACCAACCGCCACTTAACCCGGCATACTCGTCTCGAATGCACCTGGATCGACCACTGAACGTCCAGAGATTGCCGTTACTGGAGGCCCTGATGACATCTCGATTAAACATCAGCATTGGTGACCATACTTGACATGGGCCAGCTGAAAAAAAAATGTGGAACTGAAAGTTCTTTCTCCAGGTCGTGGCTGTCGAGCGGAGGTGCGTCTATGGAACTTTGACCCAGACGGTTGGGTTGTCAGTTTTTTCGTCGTGCTACATTACGAACGTTTGTCATGGATGCCGGTCGCCGTAGATGCCAGACTGTCATATGCCGCCAGCATCTACCGTAAACTTGATGGCCTCCAGCTTCTCTTGCCTTCGACTAATAGAACGTATACAGTGATGACGAAGCCTGTACTCGAGCACTTGAAGAAGTCTGTTAAGGTGTGGGTCCTACGACAATGCGACGAGCGGTTGTCCTTTCCAGTAGAAGAACAACCATGTCCGGTGAAGAAGACGTTTACATTGTACGTCGAGCGGCTGGCGGAGCGTCTGTTATTCACGATACCACTGCCGGTAAGCTATGAAATTATTTCAGCCAGATGGATAAATGCCTTTGGTGCTACTAGTATCTGTAAGCGCAAGCACCAAATAATATAAAAGATGACTGACAGGTTGATCATTGAACTTTGTACATAAGAATATAAAAGCAGGTTCTGGAACGCATATTAAACAAACTGGCTTGTCTGTGTCGAAATCAGTACTAACGATGCTGGTGATGAGATTTACGTTTTTACTCAGGCCATAGGTCGGTTTTAAACTTTCAGCAGTTCTCAGTTTCACATTGTATAGTATTAATTTTGTCAGTGCAAGCGGGAATTTGATTTGATAGATTTATGGCTACATAAAATGTACGCGCCTTGGCTTCATGATAAGAGCTTTACTGACATTTAGTTGGCAGGTTATTCATTGACATAAACAAAAATTGTTTTTTTTTGTACGCTGTCTTTGCAGTACTCCGACAAAATCGTGGATGCAGTACAGCAAGCCTTTGCCGTCGCGAATCCTGTGACAGTGAATAACATCAAGCTGACCATAGCTTTGACGGGACGCGATAACCGGCTACGTACGACAGAAGGGTCAGTGGAACCGTTTATGGGATTTGTCCCGGTACATAGCACCAAATTCGTGGACATCTACGGGAACTTTCGCTGTCGCGCACTCCCAAACACTTTTTTGCATTGCTTTATGGTATTTTGTAGCCAAAAGATTTGTATACATAGGCATGAAATCCGTTTTTGCGCGCAACATCCGGTTCGGGAGTTATGGCTGTTAGAAAATTCCAAAAGTTTAAATGCATTCAGGTGTACCAAAAGTCTCATTATGGATGGATCCCTTTCAAAATTTGCACGTAAATGCGCATAATTATGAAGATCGTTCTTACACCGATCCACTGTTCTAGCATGTTTTTTAAATTTTAAAATGAATTTTAAAATTCGAAAAAAATCGTGGAAGTCTGGATCCGTGTAAGAACGATCTCCATGGTTATGTGCATTTACACGCAAAATTTGAAAGGGATCTGTCCATAACGAGCCTTTTGGTACACCGGGTTGCATTTAAACTTTTTGGAATTTCTAATAGCCATAACTCCCGAACCGGAGGTTGCGCGCAAAAACGGATTTCACGCCTACGTATACAAATCATTTGGCTACACAATGTCAAAAAGCAACCCAAAAAAGTGTTTGGAAGTTCGCGACAGCGAAATTCCCGCGCATGTACACGAAATTAGTGCTATGTACCGGGCCAAATCCCATATACAGAGAGCGCAAAGTAGATTTTCCAAGTGGATCTGCCGCCCTTTTCCCAGCGTTTTTTCCAATATCGTCCCGCCAGTGGCTCCATAAAAGTATGTCTATTTTATTTTACAGACACGACGCTTCCAAGCTTATCTTCGCCCTGGATTATCCGAAAATGAAAAGCGGAACATATTGGAATCTGTGGCGCTATCCATCATATGATGAACTAAACGGCTTTTTCACAGCGTAGCGGAAGCAAAATTAGTCCAAACATGGACAGTAGCGGTTTAAGCCTCTAGTTACTCCCTTATTAATTTCAAACCTACCATATTTATTTGCAATGGAAGCTGGCATTTGGTCGCACTAGTTGATCCCACTTCCAGCGTCGTCTCGATGAGTTGTTCTGTAAAAGCTTGTGGTGTGGAGTTTTGTAAATATAGGGCAATTTAGTACGTCAAAATTTTGTATTTAGAAAAGTTGTACGAACCCGGATTGCACGTACGACGATCGTACAATATCATATTATATCAAGTACGACATGCAAAAATATCTTTACTTTCGCGCCTCATGTTAAAGTCGCTTACACAATGCCGGGATTGTGTGAAGTACTTTATGTAAACGTGAAGTACTGTCAATACTTTATACTTCCCGCATGCCGCGAATCGGTGAAAAGTCAGTACTTTACATAAAGTCAGTACTTTATCTAAAGTACTGCCAATACTTTATACTTCCCGCATGCCGTGAATCCGTGAATCAATGAAAAGTCAGTACTTTACATAAAGTCAGTACTCTATCTAAAATACTGCCAATACTTCATACTTCCCGCATGCCGTGAATCGGTGAAAAGTCAGTACTTTACATAAAGTCAGTACTCTATCTAAAATACTGTCAATACTTCATACTTCCCGCATGCCGTGAATCCGTGAATCGGTGAAAAGTCGGCTGCACCTGTCGATTTTCCTCCTGGGCAGGTGCTGAAGGACGGCCCGCCGCGGGCGGTGCCGATAAAGTGGCATTGAAATGGGCCGCTTTTAAAGCGCTGAACAAGCGGTCTACTAGCTGAGCTTTGTTACCGGCGATTCTCTTTCCTAAACCTCTCAACTGGTTTCTCAGTTCTTCGTTCGACTTCTTCTCCAGATTAGTGCGTGATTCTATTTTGATGAGGAAATTAAACAACTGACTGACAATAAAACCTAACGCAATTTTAAAAAGAAAAAACTGATTCTATCAGAACAAAACGCGATATACAGTATACTGCCAATTCCAACGAAAGGTCACTTGCAACGAATGCTAACAGCGGTAGCAAAATCGAAGTTATAAGAAAACTGGCGCGATCGAACCAGAAAGTGAAAGTGAACTAAAACCACATTAGGGTAAGCAAGTGATTATATACTGACCGCACACTTCCATCTTTACCACACGCACAGACAGCGGCACATCACACACATCAACCAAAACTCATTAGCGGTAAGCATGCAATTATTACAGGGAGACGTCTATTGTGCTTCTCCAGGTGGCTAATGTGGGATTAGTGGCCTTTGTCCATATCGTTGGGAAATGGTCACGCGTCGTTATAAACGGATTTCCATGAAATCCTCCTCATAATTTCATCTGGCTTGTCTCATCCCTTCTACGGTAGTACCGGGTTTTCCTGGGTTAGTGGCTGCATCACGTTGAATGGCTTACAATTTCCGGTAACGCAGATTTGACACTAATAATCCGGGATTGTTGCGCTCATGAACATCCAATAATTCAACGGCGCAATGTCTCCGGATAACAACTTCAGTGTCAGTAATGCCTTTCGCTATAGTGGTGCGCAGTGCACCTGGCTGAAAGTGAGTCGCAAACTGCTTTGGCCGGGTGTAAAAGGTGGGAGTGATACAACAATGAAGCGTATCCAGCCGTGGGCATTTATTTCAAAAGCTAAATTAACAAAGCTTACCAGGTGCGTTAGCTGCAGGACCAAAGGCGAAATCACCATCCCACGAAAGGTGGTGGAATTTATTATACAGCACAAAATTTAACAAAAAACAGTTTAACAGATTGACATTCCAAGATGGTTCCTGTCTTTTATTTACACCAATGTGTGTCCGCAGCATGTTCAAAAATGCTAATATGCTACCATCAGTACAATCACAAATTCTGTTCCAAGCAACCACTGGCTGGCTATGCGTACGCAACATCGTAAGGAAATTAATTGATAATCAGCGTATGCTATATCGACCAATCGCAAAAAATATCGTAGCCGCGGCCATCTGGCCTAGCCCATGTTTAGCCTTTACGCATTGGCATTTGGCCTTTGCAGTTGTTGAGGAGGGGTCCATTGGGCGGCGCGCATGTCGGCGAGGGAAGGAAAGTACGGTATAGACCCGGTTTGCAGATGCAGGTGCTGTCGCATTGAAAAGCGCAAAACGCCGACGGGTTGGGTTTGGCGCATGACCTCTCACAGTCGCGACAGCCATAAGTCATTAATGGGTCGGGACATTTCCAAAGTGTTTCCAATATCTCGACTGCATTTGAACTGCAGAAAAATGTCAACGCATTCGGTATGGGCTCGCTAGTAATCTGCAATCCTACTGTCTGAACAAGATGATAGAGGTCGATTTTTGGATTTCGTTTTCCACCTAAGGCCGCATCAACGGTCGGTCCCCAATGCGACACAAATTTTTGGGGTATTTCCCCTCGTAATTTTCGAAAACATGTTCCTCCCACAATTTTCATCCAAAATGTTTTCTGAATACCCCATTTAACTCAGCGTAAAATGCTGAACAGAATGCTTAGGGTAGTTCCCAGAACCGAGTCCCACGGACGGTCAGCCATGCGACTGTGTCTTTTTTGGGGTTTCCCCTACAAACCCATTAAAATCATTTGCAGTTAAAAACAATATTTTCTTTCTCTGTAAACAAGCAAACTCAACATTTTTCTTCGTTTGGGCTGGCCCCTGGAACTCGGTTCTGGAAACTGACCGTTTTGTTCAGAATTTTACGGTGAGTTCATTTGTGTAATCAAATATTTTAGATGATAACTGTGGGAGAAAAAGATTTTTGAAAACTGCGGGTGGCAATACCAATATGTACCCTAAAATGTGGTGTCGCAATGGGGAACGCCTGTTAATGCGGCCTTACGGGGAAAACAAATTTCGGAAATCGGACTCTATCATCCGGTTCAGATTTTTACGGCGAGTTCAAGGGGGTGAACGTTATAAAAGGTTGTACGCTAAGAGGAGTTTCACTGTATAAGCATTAAACACAATGATTCGTTATTGGGAGTGAGAAACATTGTTTCCTATCAGAAGCGATCGAAGTAATGATTATCCCTGTTTACGATAGAGCAGGTTTTTCCGTCTGCACTCAAAAAACTCGCAGGTGCGCTATATAAAAATGAGATCGATCGACGTATTTTGGAGAGCAACATTCCGTAGTAAATCCCGGTGCTAAACCACTTGTGTGACTGAAGTATGCGTGCATTGATTGAGTGTTAGCAAAATTTTACAGTAGATTGTATAGTCGATTTGGATTTTGTTCTTTTACTCGACCTTTTAGTAGTATCTGTAAGCGTTGCTGTATGCGCTTTGCAGTGGCTGTACTACCGCTGTATACTGATTTAAAAACGTTAGTGAATTGATTGTACTCCTATGTAAGTGCACAGAAACTAAGCATTCTCATTCTGTGTGAGCCAGTGTACAGAGTATTGCCACTCCTTCTGTTTTCACCGCGGAAAAGAAATATCCGAATCGGCTGTACAAAGTGCCGGTTTTCGTATAATGTATATGATATACATTTTACGAAAACCGGCAGTATATGTATGTTTCCAGTCATGGACCTGTGCAGTTCAGAAAGCCCTTGTCTGTTTCTACTGTTTTGCTGTTTCACGTTTTAAAACCAGTTTCTGCCGCCTTCACTAAGCGCATTCCCAAAATCCGTTGCGTTTTTTTTTCTCGCATGTATGTCGCTCTAATCTCCGCATAAGTACAGTTGTAGGAACAACTGCCGGAAAACATGATCCCTCAGTTACGTATTGTATGGTTAAACGACAATATTGTAACCATAGCAGAAAAAGCATGTTGCCCTAAACTGGGCTACCACGACATAAGCGCCATTAACAGCGTGAAATAAGAGTGTTCCAAAATTAGGCTAACTGGCTAATTTCTGAGGAGCTTGTTCTAGTAAAACTTGCTTCAGCATATGTGGAGCCGTAAGTTTTTTTTTTAAATCATAACACTTCTTACCGCTTTTCCCGTGTTAGCTTGTCGGTTTCGGTGTCACTCCCCGATTTGACTACGCCGCTTCCCGCGTTGATTGTGTTGAGCCCAGATTCGACGGTGGGGTTACCAGACTCCGCTGCACTGTAGTGGAGTAGCAGCGTGACGGTGGTGCACAGCATGATGATAGCAGCGGCTGACTTCATCGTGTACAACTGAGCTCGGCAAAGACCGGAATAAAATGAACAGTAGTTCTGCTAAGTTAATGTGATACCAATCAATGGCACTCGCACCCAGCTGCATCGCCTTATACACCGGTGCTTATTGCCGCGTCGAAGTTCCGGGTGGAAGCCTTATCAGCTGGAGCCTGTCAGCCGTCAGTGTCAGCAGTAACTGGTAATTAATTTTATAATTGCTACCCGCTTTGTGATGACTGTTTAAAATTCAACGTATACATTTGAAATGCATATCGTTCGTTGGCAAACCTTGCGCAATCAGGACATGATTGCCCCAAGGACAGATTTCACGTCTTACAAAAGACAGTGTAGGAAGCTGTATATGTGTGACAGTGTAGGAAGCTGATCGAGTAGCTGTATATTAATTATCTGCCACTAGGCAATTCTAGTAAGCACAGTCAGTCACGGGCTCAACTTACCAGGATAAATCGGAAATAACTGACGAGGAAGTAAATTTAATTTCTGGGTTTACTTCCATGTATATTCAGCAGCAGCAACAGGTAGCAGGAAATCTTAATGCTGCCCAAAAACGTCGTGACAGTGGTGGTTAGAGCGGGTACTAGTCATTTCCTTGATCTTCGTTCCGCATTTCGGTAGTTTGCTAGTTGACATATTGCTGATTCCTCCCATTTGCTCACTGAAAAATTAGTTGAATGGCAATTTTGCTGTTTTGTGATGTCGTTGAGTGACGTTCTGCCGCAAGCATTACGCTGAAAGATAGCTTACTTAGCGGTCCAGTCTAGAGAAATTATGTCTTGTGTAACTGGTCTGCAGCAGAATGTAGCGGTGCGGTTATGCTAATGTACGGCTGGTAAACATTTTAATTAGTGGCTAACTGGTCCCGTACGTATCGCTTGATGACATACCATACACTTAAACACAGATACCACACACCTACAACTGAATAAACACCCGTACTCACTGGTCACATAATCCGCTGCCAGAACCATCTAGAACGCTAAGGCACTTATCTCATAACATGTCTTGCGGCACACGCTGCAGTATCACTGTGTGTAGCGTATGCTGCCACATTCCGTACTTTTAGTATTCATGCAAAGGTGGTGTCATTGTGAGCTTTGGTAATTCAGTAAATCTATTCATTTAAATACGATAAATCCAACTAACGTCGTGACGTCACTACGGTTCGCGGTCGTATCGCTGTATAAAATATCCCAACTTGAATCGCGACTAAAGTATCGACGTTAAAAGACCTTCTCCGTCAGCAGCAACGTTTCTGATATTGCACGCAGTCTACGGCATAATCGTGGTGCATACCCAGAATAACATGCGAACATTTATTTGTTTGTTTTGATTAGGCGTAGTGCCACGTTATTATCATGGGACGAATGCACAGAGTGTCGGAGATCTACCAAATAAGTCATCGGTTCAGTTCATCGGATTAGCTAGGTAATACCGTAGTCACGGCACCGCGGCACAGTTTAAGAATACGTTGCAAATTTTTTATAAGGCTTCTATCATCTCATTTTCATGCGCTTAATTTTTATCTTGTTTGCCTGATTTTTGTATACCGTATACAGGTTTTTATTACTTTTGCAGAAAACGGAGCTTCCTAAAGTCGGGCTGCTTTAAACATCAGGAGAGCGACGCAATACGTACTGTTTGACTTCCTGACTGTCTTAAGTTACCGGGCTTCTTCCGCCCAGGGTGCTGCGGCAGGGTAAATCACCAAAAAGTAAATCTTGTTCCCCAAATAGTACAATGCATTTGTTAACTAATTTTATTAATCTAGTGTTTCATTCCGTCAGCTCTGCTGCAAAGATCAAATTTTAGAACCAAACAAAAGGGTCAAGCTACACAAAGGAAAGGGCAGTCAGAAAAAAACTGCTTTCGTTTTTCAAATAATTACTCGCTTTTGCTAGAATAGTTGAGAACATGTAGACCAATAAGTCAACGAAACGTACATTTGTCAGAACGGAGACTTTTTGATTCGATTGCCTTGTGTCGAGAAATGGCCAGGAGGTCACACCTATTAGCATATTAACTTCACAGAAGGAGAAAAAGCCCGCAATAAGGCTTAAATTGCGGCGCTGCAGCATCCGCGACTCTTTGTTTTCTAAGTTTAGGAAAGTCTCCTCTAGAGCCCTGCAACGGACTGGGAAATCCGATCCACTCCGAACCCACTCCGATTTTCGGACCGGATTGGACGGATTTCAATCTGGAAAATTCGGAGTCGGAGTGGTTTCGGAGTTTTTGTGCACCTGATCGGATCGGGTTTGGATGCAATCGAGACTCCGAATAATCCGTAATTAAATAAATATTAATAATTAATTTTGATTGAATTTCACCGGCCTTCAAAACAAAAATATTCGTCAGCGTCGCGCTTCGCGCGATGCTTCCATTTGCGCTGAATTAATTTGCACCGAAGTATCTGCTTTTGTTTAGTAGACTGTTGTCAATTCTCTTTCATTTCCTTTTATTAATTTTCCTGACACTTTTGAATATTTAGAGTGTTTTACGATTGTTCTGATGTCATTATTTGTTATCGTCTTATCAAATAATTTTAGTACTTATAACTACTTATATATTATATAAATATTATATATATATATATATATATATATATATAAATATTATATATATATATATATATATATATATAAATATTTTATATATATATATATATATATATAATTTGAAATTGAAAGGTCTTTAAAAAGTTAAAGTTTCGAAGTTAAGTGGAAGAGCCAGATTTCAGCAAACGGTCTTACTTCAGAATGCTAGAAGTTCTTAAAAAACAGTTTAGTTACTGGATTTCCATAAAAGGTCACTTTGAAAACTTGTTTAGTATTTAAAGAGGTCAACGCTATGCGCAGGAGTTTTTCATTTTAAAGAAAACTCTGTACGCCAAAATCTGCAGATGAAAAAGTCGTACAGATCACCGTTTTTAGTGTACTTACGAGTTTTAGTACAATAATTCATGTGCGCGTTGCGTTGTGGATCGCATGTACATTGTTTGGACAAGTACGAGTAAGTTTGGACAAGTACAAGTACAGGTAATGTTTGTAAGTACTGTACTGCACACCGCACGTTGGGCAGTACAGCATCTATTCTAAGTGATCTTGTGTTAAAAGCAATCCCGTATGCCGTCGATTCGTGTACAAAATTCAATACTTTAGGCGAAGTACTGCACAGTGTGCATCCATCCACATATACCTAATTCCGTGAACTGGTGAAAAGTCAGTACTTTGTGTGAAGTACTGCACATTGTGCATCCATCCACATGTACCTAATTCCGTGAACCGGTGAAAGGTCAGTACTTTGTGTGAAGTATTTGCACAGTGTGCATCCATCCACATATACCTAATTCCGTGAACTGGTGAAAAGTCAGTACTTTGTGTGAAGTACTGCACAGTGTGCATCCATCCACATATACCTAATTCCGTGAACTGGTGAAAAGTCAGTACTTTGTGTGAAGTACTGCACAGTGTGCATCCATCCACATATACCTAATTCCGTGAACTGGTGAAAAGTCAGTACTTTGTGTGAAGTACTGCACAGTGTGCATCCATCCACATATACCTAATTCCGTGAATAGGTGAAAAGTGAATAAAATTAAGTAAGTACTTCATGTAAAGTACTGCCAGAACTTTATAATTCCCAGTGTTCCCACATGCCGTGAATCGGTGAAAAGCAAGCAATTTAATTATGGAAGTACTACCAGTATTTTGTAATTCCCAGATGCCGTGAACCCGTGAATCGAAGAAACGTCAGTATTTTATGTAAAGTCTGCCAGTACTGTCAAGGAAGATTCAGTGATCACGTGAAAGTTCAATAAAGTTCAAAGTATCGACCAAAAGTTTACAAAAATTTTTTAAATGGAAGCCAGGGTTTAGCAATGGCATTTCCTAGCCGTCTAATTTATGTGTGATATTACAGCCCCTTCCTCATTAGATATCAACGGGAACTGCACAAAAACGGCCGTACTGTAGCGCGAGTACTTGAACGAGAGCTTCTGCGCACCACCAGACACGCTTTTGCGTGGTCAACTGATTTGTACGAAATTCAGGTGTTCAGGCGCGAAACATTGGTCTAGAGAGTTACAGGAGACAACAATTCAAAAAATAATATTATTACTGTTAACAGCTCCGAATGCGCGAAAGTTCTTGGCGTATCATCGGCCTGTAGCTATAACAATATGAAGTTGACACCGACACGGCGACACCGCACCGACTACGTCACTTCGAGAGATGGAGGTTAATTTATGCATGTAGTCATTTTTTTTTCAAATCACCAAAGCAAAGCGAACGCTTTCTGTGTTCAAGAAAACAGAACTTCAGTCGGTCTTTCGGTCGTATAGGTAACGTCTGTCACCTGAGTAGTAAGTATTAACTTTTTAAACTGCAATATGGTGCTACTTTTTTGATTTATATAATAATAAACTCAATTAATAAAACGAAACTTTTATAGGCACCCCCTAAAACCCTTGTTTCTTATAGGCAGTCCTTTTCGCATCCTATTTATTAAAGGCACTCATTTTTGATTATTATTGTACATAGTACTATACTAGCAGACCCGTGCAAATTCCAAATTGCGCGGAATAAATAAGAGAAGAGTTATTCAATGTAAAAAAATAATTGTTTTCAATTCTATAATTGTTAATTGTTTTCAATTGCTTCAACAGATTTAGGAAAGTTGTAGAATTTATGTTACTGTTAATATAATGTTACTGGACTGCCACGACAACCCCAGATATTAGCATATGAAATTTTTTAAAAAATTCTTTCCGGAATGGACCGGCCTTTGGCTTAGTTCTTCAGAAGGAATCCTTCGCACCATAACAGTATAATAAACTAACTAATTAGCTATCATTCAAAATTTCAGAATATGTCACCAGTTGCAAAATAATAGCTATGTGATGTAAATACAACTTTTGCTGTCTGCTTATTTTTGTCATCACGATTCGGCCGGTCAGTCCCGCTGCTTCGAATTGCAAAGTAGTAGTACAGATAGCATTAGTATTGCGGCTGAGACTCCCGCGGTCAGGTCTTGTCTAGAAATACTCCCGCGGTCAGGCTTGTCAATCAAATTATCCAAAAATCTTCCGATTTTTAATTGGCTTTCTGTTTCTTTGTATTCACAACGCAACTAATAGTAAATTAAAATTTACAATAACATAAATAGCCTATTTAAAATACTGTAATATATTTCTTTCATCGTCCGTAAATGTAAAGCCTCGCGCTTGCTGCTCCGCGAGCTCCGCTAGCGCCCAAACTCGGCGTCGCCTCAACTACTGAAGAAAATTATATACAGATAATTTCATTTAAGATTTAAGAGTACGGAATAATACGGTCGTGATTCAAGAGCTTTCCCCCATTCCCAGCAAAGTTGCGTTTGGGCTGTCTAAACAGTGGTGAGGTGACCATTTTTGCAGTGATGGATTCTCAACTTTTCCCATTGGTTTCCTGTGTTATAGTTTTCTAAAGATTTCTTGCAAACGTTTGGTTTTTTCTGAAAATTGGCTTGCGATGGCAAATCTACCCACTAAGGGCTACCGAATGATACGCAGACATGAAAGTTTGATTCAGTGGATCGGGCTGACGAACTCGACAGAGTGGGAATT